GTGTGACAATTGCTTGAATCCCTTCGACACGCCGACCATCCTTGCTGCTCACCGTGTAAAGTGCGTTGAACAGGATGCTCAGAACATAGTCATGCCTAAAGAAGGAGAGAATATTATGAAATTCACAGAGTATCAAAAACAAATGTGGCATGACTATGTTATCTACGCGGACCTCGAGAGTATTCTGGAGCCGTACCACACAGCTCTGCCCAATCCGGAGTACTCGCACACGACGCGGCGCAGTAGGCACGTGCCGTGCGGGTACTGCTACCTGGTGAAGGGCCCCAACGGCTACCAAGAGCCCGTAGTGGAGGTTGGTGGGGAAGATCTCATGCTTCGCTTTCTTCGGCGGCTGCTGGGGGAGGTTGACAAGATCAAGGAGCTGCGGGGCCCCTCCTACCCTCTGGTCATGATGGCTGCGGATGAAGAAGCCTTCGCCGCAGCGATTGAGTGCTACATGTGTGGTCAGGACTTTAAGAAGACAAAAAGGGTAAAGTGTCGTGACCATGATCATGGGGTGAAGGGTGTGGAAGGTGAAGGGGGTAAAGGTAATTATCTCGGGGCAGCATGTCAAAAATGTAATCTAAATAGGAAAAGAAGTCCATTCATCCCAGTTGTCTTTCATAATTTGGCGAACTATGATGCCCATCATATAATATCAGCCATAGGACAGCTGTCGAATGGAGATGACATTAAGTGCATCCCCAAAACCAAAGAAAAGTACATCAGCTTTCAGTGGGGGGAGCTCAGATTTCTAGACTCTTTTAACTTCCTAAGTACTAGTTTAGACAAACTGGTCAGTGATCTCAGTAGTGAAGAGCTGGGTGCTCTAGAACTGTTTTTTCCGGACCCTGTGAAGCGTGCCTTAGTCACTAGGAAAGGTGTGTACCCCTACTGTTGGTATGATAGCTTTACTCGGTTAGAAGAAAAGGAGTTGCCTCCTATAGAAGCCTTTACGAGTGATTTGACAGGGAAGCCTATCTCAGAAGTAGATTATGAGCATGCTAAAAATGTGTTTAAAACCTTTAACATGGACTCCATGGGTGAATTTTGTGAATTCTATGTGTTCACTGACACCTTATTGTTGAGTATCGTGTTTGAGTGTTATAGGAAAGTGACATTTTCAACATTGAAGGTGGACGTAGTTCACTGGTACTCCACCCCAGGAGTCAGCTGGTCTGCAGCCTTGTTATACACACAGCAAGAGCTAGAGCTGCTCCAGGATCTGGATATGCATCTCATGTGGGAGGCGGGTGTTCGTGGGGGCGTGGCAACAATTAACTGTCGCGCCGCCACGGCAAATAACCCGTATATACCGGAAACGTATGATGAGAGTCAAGAGCGCCGCTACATCATGTATTTAGATGCTAACAACCTGTATGGTCTTGCTCTCAGCCGCCCGCTTCCCATCGGGGGCTTTAAATGGCTAGACAGGGCGGAGATAGGGAAATTGAATGTAAACACTATTGATGTCAATGATGAGGTAGGCTACCTGTTTGAGGTGTCTCTCAAGTATGGAGAGCACCTTCATGATATGCACAATGACTTTTGTTTAGCACCAGAAAGGTATGTACCTTCGCACGCTGATCTGTCACCCCTTCAAAAAAGGATGATTCGAATGTACAATTTAAAAGATGTAGACAATGTTAAAAAACTAATTCCAAATTTGAAAGATAAAACAAATTACGTTGTGTATGGGACGACGTTGAAAATGTATCTAGACTTAGGCATGGAGTTAACTAAAATTCATCGAGTAATATCATTTAAACAGAAGGCGTGGATGGCACCGTACATTCAGCACAATACACAAATGCGTCAAAAGGCCACGTCAGCCTTCCAGAAGGACCTCTGGAAACTTTGCAACAACGCCTGTTTCGGAAAAGCGTGTGAACAGGTGCGCCGAAGGCGAAATGTGACATTTACCAAAAAAAGTGAAAAATTCAAAAAACTTGTAAAATCCCCATTGTTTCACTCTTTTGAAATATTTGACTTTGGTATGGTTTGTGTAGAGCGAAGGAAGCCTAGAGTAGTTTTGAACAGACCTGTGTACGCTGGTGAAGTTGTCCTTGACGTTAGCAAAGAGATAATGTATGATTTCCACTATAATTGTATGAAAAAACTGTATGGGGATAAAATTAAGGTGTGTGGAAGTGATACTGACTCTTTGATTTATGAAATCAAAACTGATGATGTATATAACGACATAAAACTCATGGCTGATTATTTTGATCTCTCAGACTACCCTGAGGATCACCCTCTTCACAGCAAACAAAATAAAAAAGTGCCTGGGAAGTTTAAGGACGAAATGAATGGGAAACCTCTCAAGGCATTTATTGGGCTGCGCCCAAAAATGTACTCCTTTCTGGGTGCTGATAACGCTGAAAAGTGTGTGGGGAAGGGGATTCCTCGAGCAGCATTGAAGCAGCAACTATGTTATCAGGACTATGAAAATTGTTGGGATGAAATAAGCACAAAATATGTACAGTTTTGTAAAATTTCAACTGATCAAAGGCATCACTTGTATACCATTGCTTCCTCACGGCGTGGTCTGTCGTGTTTTGATAATAAACGATACATCTTAGCTGATAACACTAATACATTGGGCTATGGGCACTATAGGATAAGAGAAAACCAATTTAATGATAAGGGGGCAGAGAATCTGCAAGAAATGTTATTACAGATGGAGCTTGAGGAGGAGGAGGGGGTGGAGGAGGAAGAAGAAGAAGACTTGTGAAATAAAATTACTCATCTGCATTGAAAAACAAGCTAGGGCCCGCCCTTCCGTCGAACCGAGTTGCCAGCTCCGCTTCGCTGCGCCGGCAACTCGGTTCGACAGGGGGCCGGCCCAGCTTGGCCTGCCGGCGGCCTTTTCTCGGGCCTTCGGCCCTCGCATCAGACCCAACTTGGCCAGTCGAAGGCCCGGGCCTTCGGCCCGCTCGCATCACACACACCGTGAGCGGGTAAAGCAAAGTTATCGATGTACCATCGTGACTTAGGCCCGCCCTTCTATTTACAATATGCAATAGTCCTTACACTTTTTACTCCAACTGTCCTTAGAATATGCATATTTCATTTGTCTCTTCGCCCTCATTCCGAAAATACCCATATTTGCCATGCTCCTGCAACTCCTTGCAATAGAGGCACAGGAGCGCAAAACGAGTCCGTCGCACTTTTTCCCATAACTCATGAAGGCGGGCTCCTGGACCCCCCTTCCGACCCCTCGTTGAAGAGGTCTTGCCAAGACCTATCCAAAACTTAAGTAAAAATTTTCAGTCGGTCGACCCCTTTTTTTCAAGATCCTGATGTGACTAATAGACGAAGTCGGGCTCCTGGACCCCCTTTCCGACCCCTCGTTGAAAAGGTCTTGCTGAGACCAATCGAAATCTGCAATAAATTTTTTTAGTCGGTCGACCCCCTTTTTTGAAGATCCTGATCTGGCCAACTTGTAAAAGCGGCCGATGGGGTCGGGACCAGGTCCATTCATCTTGTCTCGTCGCCCCGATTCCAAAAATACCCCTATGTGCCCTGCTAGCACCAATAATGGCGGAAATCCCCCTCCCGCTCATGTAAACCATGATGCACCTGCAGCAGCCCTTGTGCGACCCGGACGGGATTTGCACCACCGGATTATTTGTTTGGACGGTACTCCTGAAGTACCCTCCAAATCTGGTTACTCTAGCTCAACTCCTTCCTTGTACACAGACGCCAACAACAACAACAACAACAACAACAACAACAACAACAACACACAGACACAAAGGCAAATGCATAGGCCCTCCCCCTATTTTTTGAATAGAAGGGCGGGCCAAAAATTGTGTGAATTACTGAAATTGTTCCCTAAATCATTCACTCACGCAGTTGGAGAGAGAGAGAGGTGTATGTCATGAAGGCGAGGCGGCTGTCCTGCATGCGCGGGCGTGGACATGTCAGTTTCCCGAGGCAGCCATCCTGCCGTGTTGACGTGCGGCGGCCATCGCGCTGCCCTCACATGGTAGCCATCGCGTCGCGGTGTGGCGTACACTGTTAGAGGTTGCGGTGTGGTGGAAAAAGGAGTCTAACATGGTGGAGGGGGGATAGGTGTGCGTGGCGCGCAGTGTCTCGCCTCGATGCCCGATAGATGTCGCTGAGGCGCAAGAGCGGCGGCCATCACTAAAAAGCTGTCTCCGAAAGCCCTGCTTCTGCGCGGACGTCAGGAGTTGTAAAAAGTAAGAGAGAGAGTGAGAGAGAGCATAAGGCACGCATCGTCTTCGCACGCCAGCCGGTCAGCCGGGCGAGAACTGCTGACTGCGCAGGCGACTCGCGTGCGAGGAGCGCCCTGCAGCTAAAAGGCAGCGTCCGAGAGAGTGCACCTGTTCGGAAACAGCCACTCCAGGCGTACCGTTCGCGTTGCGCTCGTCCGTACCGGTGAACCGTTGGAGCAATTGAGTCCGCGGTTGCTCCCCTCCGTTGAGGAAAGAGTGCTTTACGTCCACGTCAAAGGGCATTCGTTTTGACGCATTCGTTTGGCGTCCGCAGCGGGTGAAAGATGAACTCGAGTTTTGAGTCTCTCGGAGACCTTAACGCGGGGTGTGGCTTCCTAGTCAAGGAAAGCACGGTCGCCCAGCCGCAGGCGCTCGATCCGAGCGTGCGACCCCGCGCGTCGCGCCGGCCGTGGGCGGTAGAGAGGGACTCGGTCCGAGCGTTTGACCCCTCGTCAAGGCAGTCCTCAGAGAGAGAGAAGAAGAAGAAGAGAGAGAGAGAGAGAGAGAGAGAGAGAGAGCGACAGGTGTTCGTGCTCGGTGTGCTTGGCACTCGTCAGCATTGTCAAGCATCGCCTCGTTGCATCGCTCCCGGAAGGGCGTACGTTTGTCAGCGAAAGTGCACCTGCGAAGCAACAGCAAGCTGTTGTCGCGGTCTCGGACGGGCGCGCGCGCACGCGTCAGCGAAAAGGTCGATGCACCTAGGCAGCGTGCATGCGGGTGGGCATGCGTGTGTCAGTCGCGATTTGTCGGCGTTTGTGAGTGACCGTTCCCGACGTTTCCCTTCCGCGGTGCAGTCATGATGAGTGAAGGCGTCAAAAGAAGCTCTGTCGTGCGTCGGCTGTGGTTCGACGAGATGCAGCAGCAGCAGGAGGAGTTTGAGCCTTCAGCCCCGCCACTGGGTGAGTGTGAGAGAGGGAGAGAGAGAGAGATCGTCATGCATAAGAAAAAAGGAAATAAATATCATGTGGTTTTACAGAGGAGGCTCAGGAAGAAACCGAAATTGCAAGCGAGTGGCGGGAGGCGGAGGTCCCGGGGCCCAAACGAAGTAAGCTATGTGATGAGTGAAAATAACGAATAGTGTTGTCGTGATCATTGTGGGGTTAAAATAAGAGCACGTGTGTGTATGTGTGTAGGACGAAGGACGGAGAGGTCGATTCGTGGAGGCAAGGCAACGCGCCGCTCGGAGCGCATTGCAGCACGCCGCTGCCGAGAAAGATGGAGCCCTTCGCACATGGTAAGCAGCGTGTGCTAGAGAGAGAGAGAAAGAGCGAGACGCGAGGGTCTGAAACAAATAAAAAATGATGTTGCAGGATTGGGGAAAAATTCGCCGACGTACTGAAGAGAGTGACTTCTGTTGGGAGGAGACGTCTGATTCGTTGGGTGGATGCAATCTCGCAGCCGAAGAGGGGGGCGTGTGCAATCCTGTATGTGAAGAGGGAAACATGTCTGAAATTGAGGAATAAATTGTGCAATAATTTCAATCAAAAATTGAGTTTCATTTCAAATTGGAGTGTGGATAGGGCCCTGTGAGCTCACCGTGAACGAGAGAGAGAGAGAGAGAGAGAGAGAGAGAAAGCAACGCGACGTGACTCTGACTCTGTGGAGGGGGAACGCAGTGCCTCGCTGTGGCGCGAGAGCGGCGGCCATCATTAAAAAGTCGTCTCCGAAAGTCCAGTCTCTGCGCGGACACTAAGGGTAAACCAGTGATGGAGAGAGTGAGAGAGCGTGCGTGAGCGATAAGGCACGCATCATCTTCGCACGTCAGCCGGTCAGCCCGGCGAGAACTGCTGACTGCGCAGGTGACTCGCGCGACTCGAGCGCCTTGCAGCTAAAAGGCAGCGTCCGAGAGAGTGCACCGGTTCGGAAACAGCCGCCCCCAGACGCTCCGCTCGCGTTGCGCTCGTCCGTAGCGGCAAACCGTTGGAGCAAATGAGCCCGCGGTTGCTCCCCTCGATTGAGGAAAGAGTGCTTTACGTCCACGTCAAAGGGCTTTCGTTTTGACGCATTCGTTTGGCGTCCACAGCGCGTGAAAGATGAACACGACTTTTGAGTCTCTCGGAGACCTTAACGCGGGGCGTGGCTGGCTAGTCAAGGAAAGCACGGCCGCGCCGGCCGCGGGCGGCAGAGAGGGACTCGATCCGAGCGCGCGACCCCCCTCTATGCACTTCTCAGCGAGTGCGAGAGAGAGGGAGAGAGGGAGAGAGAGATACCGAAAGCAGCGCATCGCGGTGCGGTCGCGCCGGCCGCGGGCGGCAGAGAGGGACTCGATCCGAGCGTTTGACCCCCTCGTCAGGGCAGTCCTCAGTGAGAGAGAGAGAGAGAGAGAGAGAGAGAGAGCGAGAGAGAGAGCGAGAGCGAGAGAGAGAGCGAGAGCGGGAGAGAGAGCGAGAGTGAGAGCGAGAGTTAGAGCGAGAGCGAGAGAGAGAGCGAGAGCGAGCGCGCGCTTGGCGAGTGCGCCAAGCGGTCAATCGCGCTGGGGGGGCGGAAAGGTCAAAAAAGTATAAAAGGGTGGGGAGGGTTAAGGGTTACCGCAGTGCTTGTCAGCAAGGTGATCAGACGGTATGTATCCCCAATTCAAAGTGCCTTTTACCTGCAACGTCGCCGCACCGTCGGGCAGTGGGAAAAGCACACTGATTGTGAAATTTCTACGTCATTTGCCCAAGCTGGTGGACAAACCCATTCTGCAGGTGGTGTGGTGTTATGGAGAGGCGTCTGGCGTGCCACAAGAAGTACTGGACGATCCGTCTATAAAGCGACACCGCGGTGTGCCCACGGATGAGAGTGGATTGCTGGTTCGCGGCTCTCTCATCATTCTGGATGATCTTATGAGGGAATCGTCGAATAGTTTCGTAAGTGACTTGTACACGCGTAAATCGAGGCACAACGGCATATCGGTCGTGCTTTTGTCTCAAAATTTGTTTCATCAAAGCAAACACAGTCGAGACATTTCATTGAGTACGCGTTACTTTATTTTGTTGCGAAACGTCCGCGATCGCGCTCAATTTTTTCACCTGGCACGTCAAATTTACCCCGAGAATCCCACCTCTCTGTGTGCGGCTCTGAAGGATGCATGGTCTAGCCCGTTTTCTTATCTGCTGATCGATCTCGATCCCACGACTCCAGAGGGACTTCGCTTCCGTACCAACATTTTCCCTGATGACAAATTTATGACTGTGTACGCCAACGAACGAGAAATCGATCATCTTCAAGAGTCGGGACAGACCGCACCCCTGCGAGCGAGCGATTTGCTTCCCGCAGCGGTTGCCCTCGCACGGGAACCGGTGCCCCCGCCGCCATCGTCATGAACGGGGTCGCATTGGATCCGACTCTGAAGCGTCTGGCCGAATGCAAACACGTCCTTCACGTGCTGAAAACTAGCCCGACTGCCGTGCAAAAAGCCATTCTGAAAAATGCCGAATCTTCTCTTCTCATGTGTCTTTCTGATATCGCAGTGAATATTTTGAATGGGAACATTCGACTGACCCCGGAATCCTTTGCCCGTCTCGAAAAATTCAAGAGCCTCGTTCGTCGCGTGGCGGCAAAACCGAAACCAGGTGCGAATCCCGTGCAAGGCGGACGCGGCGGCAGCGGCGGTGGCGGGGCCACTGTCACTAGAGGCGGACGCACTGTCAGCAAGCGGCGAACGGCGGCACCGGGGCAGCGGGGCGACGCCAAGTCCAGGGCGTCCACAGCGACGTGGTGCCGAGAAAAACGTCGCATTTTTACCCAAAAGGGGGGTGGGGTGTTTTTGACTTCGCTTCTGACGAGCGCACTGGGAGGTCTTGTAGGAAAAGTAGTGAGCCACTATCTGCCACCAGCGCCGCGACAGCAACATGTCACCGACGCGAGGCGGGCGTGAGGGGGCCGGCGAGGGGACTCTGCGAAAAATGTTGATCGTTTCACCGGATCAACTGGAGCGACTCAAGGGCGAGACGCTCAAGACAATGAAAGAAAATTTGGGCTTTCAAATGGATTCCGTTCTCAACAAGTCACACTCGGTGGAGACGCGAAATGTGGAGGGAATGTACCAGGAATGGGATGAATATCGCCCACTCTTGGAAAAAATGTTGGATTTGAAACGTCGAGAGCGTTCAGAGCGAGTGCGACTCCCCATTTACGAAATCGATGACGGATCCGAAAAGCCAGGGGGTCAGGCAGGTGCGCCGCCGCCGCCACCCGCCGTCACGCAGCGCGACGTGGCGTTGTCGCCACGCTCCTCGCCGCCACCGCTGTCGCCGCTGTCGCCGCCGTCGCCGCGCTGGCGCAAAGGGCCATCCGGGGCCACCGCAAACAACAAGGGCTCCAGCGGCCCGCTCCCGCCCCCGCCCCGCCCCCGCCCCCACCCAAGACACCGCCGCACGAGACTCGACCATGGGGGTCATTTTATTCCCCTCATTTTCTTCGCGGCGTCCCCGTACTGCCCAGTCAATTGGACCCCGCGTTCAACTACGATCGCGATGAAATTCCGAGAATAAAGGGACACGCCGCCGTCGGCGCTTCCTCTGCTGCTCATGGATGGGGCTGGGAAGACGAGTGGCGGCGCCGCGGCGGCGGCGACGACGACGACGACGACGACGACGACGACTTTGACGACGAGGGCGGCGAAACGAAGCAGCGAGCGAGTCGCGACACAACCAATTCGGAACTGTCTCTGGAGGATATGCTGGACGTCATTAGCCAGCACCTTGAAAGTAGGACAGGGACAATGACCTCCTTTCCAGGGCAGCACGGCAGTGACGATGAGGACGACGACGACGACATTGCGGGTCAAGGGCGCGTTAACCACCGTTCATTCCCTTATTCACCTACCCCTTATTCGTCTTCTACCCCTCTCAGTGCGTTCCAGACTCCCTCCTCCCCTTCAAGACCTGCTGCCGCAGTGACACCAGCAGCAGGAGCGACGGCTACGACGGGGAGTTTTGTGGCATCCGCACCGCACAGCAATTCGTCAAACGGCGCGATTCGCGTGCGACGTTTGCGTTTCGGACGCGACAAGCAATGGACACCGAGCCAATTACAGCCACGCGCCGGAAAAATCCGCGCCGCGGCCAAGCGCGCCGCGGCGACGGTGAATCCGACACCGCTGCCGGACTCGAGCAGCGCCGCGTCGACGTCGAGCGCGGCGAGGCGGCGATAGACACACCGACTCGACAAATTCCGACTTCCGCCGCACCGCCGCGGCCGCCGCGGGCTGGCGACGGTGCGACTGATCGGGCCAGCCACATTGAGACACACTTGAAAAAACTGTACTATGATTTGAGCTCTCCGGTGGCCTTTTCCTCACTGAAAAATATAACGCGAGCGGCCGCTCCTTTCGGAATCACACCCGACGAAACTCGACGTTGGCTCTTTTCCCAAGAGGTGTATAGCCGCTGCCGTCCCGCACGGCGGAAATTTCCCCTCAATTTTTACAGCGTTTTAACAGTGGATGACGTTTACGAAATCGACTTGTGCGACTTTCGAAGTCTTTCCCAGTTCAATGACGGCTTTAATTATTTCATCAACATGATTGACTGTTTGAGCAGGGAAATTTGGGCATATCCACTCAAGACAAAGACGGCAGCCGAGGTTGCCCGCGTTTTGGAGGCTCATTTTCGTAAAACGGGACGCATTTGTAGGCTAGCGCAGGCAGACCATGGTTGTGAATTTAAAGCGCAGGTCCGGAAGCTGTTCACCTCTTTGGGCATCCGATTTCGGACGCTTGAAAACAAAAACCATGCGGCAATGGTCGAGAAGGCGAATCAAACTATTAAATCCACCCTCTGGAAAATAATGGTTCACTCGGGACGATGGCGCTGGGTAGACGCGTTGCCCAAGGTCGTGACGGCGTACAACCACCGTGTTCACTCGGCCACCGGTTTCCGACCGATTGATGTGAATCGTTTCAACGCGTACGACATTTGGTCTCGCAACTACCTTCGGCGACGGCTGCCGCGCGCACCACCGCGCACGCGTCGCCGCCGCGGCGGGTCGCCTCCCCCACTTGCGCCCGGTACGTACGTGCGCGTCAGTCTGCAAAAGTCCGAATTTGAGAAGGGCTACACCCCTCGTTACTCCCAGCAAATCTATAAAATAGAGCACGTCGTAAAAATGAAGCCAGTTCCCATGTACAGTCTAACAAATTTAAATTTTGAGCGCCTGGTCGGTTTATTTTACAGAGAGGAACTTTTACCAGTTCCAGCGCCGAGCGCCGACACGCTTTACAGAGTGGAGAAAATTCTGAAGCGACGACAGCGTCGCGGACATCGGCCCGAGGTTCTTATCAGGTGGGAAGGTTACGACGAAAAGTTTGATTCCTGGGAGCCCGCCTCAGCCGTTAGCCATGTTTGAGCCAGCGCTCTCGAAGGGAAAGGACTCTTTTTTTCTTACTTTGTCAAGCGACAGCTCAAGAAAATATTTCAGCGATAACACCATCGCACAATTTTCGACGCAGCTGGCAAGGCCCATTTGTGACGCTGCCTCCTATGAGGTAGCCGTTTGCGAGGTGTTCTTACCCCCATTCGACTCTTGGAAGATTAGAACTGCGGCCTCCCCCATTTACTTGTACTGCGACGTCCTGCAACCCGTCTTGGTGAGCGACACGTCGGCTCGGCTCCTTCGCGTCCTCGTTCCGGACATTATTTCCGGGCATTACATTTTTCCCACATTGTACTACGCACCCGTGGAGAAACGAAATTTTCAGACCATTACGCTCCTTTTTCGCACAAGATTCGCGGAACCTTATCCGTTTCAGGATAGCGAGTACCCCAGCACCGTCGTGCTCCATTTTCGAGAGCGTTGAGCCCTATAAATACACCGCCAAAGTCTCGTCCCCCTTTATTCCTTCACCATGGAGCAGGCTTACCAGTCGTATTTTGAGGCGCAAGCGGGCGGCGGCAGCGCGTCCCAGCCAGCCATCGGCCCTCTGTACCGAGCCTCCTTCGCGCAGCAGAGCGGGCGGGGATGCTGTGGTATCGGTCGCGTGTTGACGGCCGTTGCGACACCGCTCATCGTCAAGGGAGTGCGCGCCGTCAGTGAGGAGGTAGCTAATGCAAGTTTTGGACTGTATCGCGATATGCAACAGGACTCGTCTTTGTCAGCACTCCGGACCGCAGCCACTTCACGCGCCGGCCAAGTCCGCCGCAATTTGACGCGCCGCGCACGAGCTACGCTTGTCGGTCGGGGCTCAAAGACCAGGCGACGAAAAAAGCCGGCAGCTCGTCGCAAAACGGCACCTCGGCGTCGTGCAGCTGCCGCGCCCAGGAAGAGGACTCGTCGATCGAGAATAAAAAGGAAGTCTACGCCAAGGAGGCGTCAGACGGGCGGTGGACTTCACCACGAGCGGGCGGCGAGCGAACCCGACATTTTTTCGTAACCATGGCGGAGGGTCAGGCAGCTATTCCGTGCGTTCCGAGTGAGTTGGACATTTTTTCCAGGTCACGCATTCAAAACGCCATTCTAGGGCATCAGATTGTAGGCATCAAGACTATCAATGCCGTCACACAGCCGCTTTCAACCCTAGAATATTTTCACAGTGGAGCCAGCGATTATTACCGAGATTTGTCTCACGTGTATTTGCGGCTGCGAGTCTGCCTGCGCGGTGAAAATGGAAATCCTCTTCTTCTGAACACTGTTGGCGTCGCTAATAATGAGGTATTTTGCGATAGTGAAGAAGAGGAATGCGGCTGGTGAATCATAACAAACCCTCATTTGTTTAGGCAGTCGTCTGCTTGCGGGGCGAGGCGGGGGCTGGGCATCATGGCCGCCAAACAAATGAGGGTTTGTGATGTTCTACCCCCACCGCCGCATCTTCTTCTTTCTCTTCTTCACTATCGCAAAATACCTCATTTGCTGTATACTCTGTTCCAAACCCTCGAAGTATTTGCGAATGAACGCTGCATTTGCCGCGTCGACCATTTTGGTTTTAAATCGTACATTGAAACTCTCCTAAACAATTCGCCTGACGCTGCAAAGACGCACCTCAGGTCTCATATGTTTTATTTGGATACTCCTTCACACTGCACAGAGCCAGCTGACGCTAATGAAGGTTTCACCATGCGCAGAGATAAATTGTCAAACAGCAAAATTGTGGAATTGTACGGGCGCCTGAGCTGCGGGCTTTTTAATCAAAAGCTTCTCCTGCCCCAAGGCCTTGATTTGCGGATCAAGCTGACCTTTGCCCCTGAAGCCCTCTACCTGTGGACAAACGACGTGAATCAGGAGGCTCACTTACATGTGGTGGACAGCACACTGTACCTTAAACAGGTCCTCATTAATCCCGGCGTGCTGCTCGCACACGCAAAGATTTTGGCGCAGACGCACGCTCTGTTTCCTATGAAAAAAGTGGAAATGAAGGCCTTTACTGTTGCACCAGGCGCTCGCACTTTGTCACTCAACTCTGTCTGTCAGGGTCGGCTTCCAAGTTTTTTATGCTTCACGATGATTGAAAATGCTGCTTTCAATGGCCATGTGCAGATGAATCCTTTTGCCTTCGTACACAAATCTATTACTAACGTCTCCATTTTTGTTAATGCAGAGGAGCACCGCGTTGGCCCGTTGCAGTTTTCTCAGGATAACCCCTCTTTCACTTACGCTTATCACTCCCTGTTCACGGCCTTTGGCGACGACTTGCGGAAAACGCACATGATTACACCTGACATGTTCGCGCATGGTACGTTTTTGGTGTGTAAGGACATCACCCCTGACGGGAGTGGTAACATTTCACACACCAGTTTAGCTAGCTCTGGCGTCGTGCGAATAGAGGCCTCCTTTGCTCAGGACATCGACGTGGCATTAACGTGTTTGGTTCTTCTCGAGTACGACTGCGTTTTGGAGGTGGACCAGAGCCGAAACGTCTACATTTCATAACGCTATGGACACTACTCAAATTGCAAACGTGCTGCGGAGCTGCGCCGAAACTCGCCACGTGTTTGTCAATGTTTTCGCCGCCAACCGGCTCCCCGTCACGCCTGTGCGACGGCCCGCCATTTAAGTCGTTAATAGCCAGGCTGATTTTTTCCCAGGCTCTCATTGGTTATGTTTTTATTTACCTCAACATGAAATTGGTGTAGAGTATTTTGATAGTTTAGGAGCTGCCCCCACGCAGCATTATTTTTTAAGATTTATTAATAGGAATGGCGGTCTTCTCCGCTATAGTCAAAGAAAGCTTCAATTTCCCGCTAGTGATGTGTGCGGGGAGTACTGTTGTGTGTTTGCCCTAGAGCGTGCCTCAGGTGTGTCTATGCACCATTTCCAAACGCAGTTTGGACAACACCAGCTCATAAACGATCGACTCGTTTTGTTCAAGTTTAATACCTATTTCACTTGCAATGTCCATTACTCTCGACCTGAGCTCCGCGCCTTCCACGTGCAGACCTGCGCTCCTCAGTGCCACGCCCGTCACGTGGCACGACACCTAGCCAGGCGGCCGCCACCGCGTGCACCTCGCCGCCCACCACCCAGCCGACCGGCAGCGCGCAGAGCCGTCGGCGTGGGGGGTGCCATTTTGCAGTCGTAAGCACTTGATACATATAGCGCGGCGCGGTCGGAACCGCCATCAGTCGTGCACCTTCCTCCACTGTGGCAAAAAGGTACGGAAAATTCTGTTAATTTTTTTGCCAGGATTCTCCGTAGCCCTCTTATCAATATTCTCCGTAGGCTCTTACAGTATTCTCCGTAGGGCCGTACAGTATTCTCTGTAAGTCCGCACAGTCTTCTCCGTAGGACCTGGAAGACTGTATAGTCCTACGGAGATCACTGTAAGGTCCTACGGAGAATACTGTGCTGTCCTACGGAAAATACTGTAAGAGCCTACGGAGAATATTGATAAGGGGGCTACGGAGAATTACCACAAGCTGTTTACAGAATTTTCCGTAGCTTTTTGCCACAGTGTCGCCATTCGATTGTGTCGCTAGCGTCTGTCGCCATCCCGCCCACACCCCATCGCCAGAGTTTGTCGCCCTCGACCACCTCAGCCTTTGCAGGAAGCTGCTCTGCTTTTTGGTGAGTACTCCAAGTTGACTGTGGTCAAGCACCTTGAATGACCGATATTCAGTTTCACCCCTTCTGTGTGAGCGTCTCTGTGTGTGCGTGTTTGTGTGTGTGTGTGCGTACGTGTGTTTGCATCGCATGCTAACCTCGAGCCCCGCGACGTGAGATGCTGTCTCATCTTCCGACTGCTGCAGCTCGGAAGGCTCGCTTGCGAGAGCGCGCGCACACACAGACGCACACACACGCACTAAGATTCAGACCTTTAATTTTTAAAATTTTCTCTTGGTTTTTTTTTTTAGCTCTTTTACCCTCCCCTGACTCCAACTCCCCGCGCCGTCTTCGCCACAGCTCATCCTTCCGCTTTTTTGGTGAGTACCTCAGCTGACTTCGGTCAAGCACCTGATCTGACCGACATTAGACTACGCGCGGTTCGTTGGATGTGTGTGTGTGTGTGTGTGTTTGCATCGCGCGCTGCCTCGAACACGCAAAATGAGATGCTGCATTGTCATCATCTCCCTGCTGTTGCAGCTCGAGAGGAACGCTGGCGTGAGCACGCGCGCGCGCGCGCGCACAAACACACACACGCACGATTCAGACCTTTAATTTTTAAAATTTTCTCTTGGTTTTTTTTAGCTTTTTTACCCTTCCCTGACTTCGACTCCCCGCGCCGTCTTCGCCGCAGCTCATCCTTCCGCTTCCGTGCCGTCTTCACCGCAGCTCATCCTTCCGCTTCCGTGCCGTCTTCACCACAGCTCATCCTCTCGCTTCCGTGCCGTCTTCACCACAGCTCATCCTTCCGCTTAAATTCGGTGAGTGCACTCTGCCCATTTTTTTCCTTTACGTTCATTTGTCGCGATTCTTAACTCCCACCCTATGCGCGTCCGCTCAGAACGATGCAGTCCCTCCAACATTTAGCCGGACGGAAGGTGCCAGTGGCGGTGTTGCTACGCTTGCGTATGGGACTACCCTTTGAGCACCCAGTCAGCCGCATGCTAGCCCCGTACTTGAGCTACAACTGCATCGGGTTCTCGCGTCCCGGAGTGGTGGGCGTTCAATGCGGGCATCTCGAGCTGCTCAAAGAGTGGAACGTGGAGCAGCTCGAGGTGGACACCACCTCTGGCTGGCGCAGTCGGCCGGGGCGCTTTTACGATAATCTCAGTCGAGTCGGTCAACAACCGAAGCGTCCCCATGTCATTATCACTTTCGGCCAGCCAACCCCGCCATGCGTGCTTCCCGACTACCGCTTGGTGGAGCGCACGCAGGGGCCCAATCACCCCCCGTGGTACTACAAGTGTGTTTACTACCGCCTAAATCAGGTCCGCAACCCTACCCGTCAGTTTCCCCCTTCCCCGATTCACCTGTTTATTTTGCGTGTCACTAACTTTGTTTTCTTCATGTTTGTTCACAGTAAATCATGGCCAACATTGATGCCGTGGCTATATTCAACGCGCTGGACGATGGTGAAAAATTCGTGTCTGTATCAACTCTCCCCCTCGGGGTGCCACACGCTGTGCTGCAACTGCAACGAATCAGCACGAAACATGGGGAGAAGTTAAAGGCGCGGGTTGCGCACCATGAAGAAGGGGAAGCAGATATCATAGTAATCCTTCCATCAAGATTCGCTGCAATGAGCGACGAAGCTGTGAGTGGAATCAACGCAATGGCTGATGCGGGCCACCCGTACAGCCTCCGATTTAATGGGCGTGATGGCAATGCTTTTAAAGTATCACTTTCATGATTTTTGAATAAACCTACAACTTTTCCCTGTTTTTTGCAATCGTTTCTTGAGTTACCATCTCCCGGTTTCCACTAGTTCAATGATACACATCGATTCAGATTTTAATTCTCTTTATTTTACTGATGAACTTTTGACAGAGTTTTTGAGCCTCAATCACATTTATCAAGTTTTCCAATACAATTTTCAAGTGAGGGCAGTCCCCCAATTTACAACCATCCGCTGTTGGTACAGTCAATTTTGGTTGAGCCTTGCGAGCACAAGTTTGCTTTTTTTGCTGTACGCGATGTTGCCTGCCTTTGCGCCTGGGCTTCGTCTCCTTTTTTACTGCAACTGAAATGAGAGTTGTTATCAAGTTCAAATTTTATCTTTAAGCGCTCATTCGCGACGCGCTACAGTTTCACTCTAACTTACCAACTTGTTTCGGAGGAGACTCGCCATTATCACGCACGCCGACTGAGGACACAATCTCCTCACTAGGTGATACTGAAACAAAAACACACAGTCAATATAACCTCTCGATACATAGCATGACTTATTCCATGAGGGTAATATAACCTCTCTAGTCCCCCTTACTCGAGCTTTAACTTACCCGACGGTACGATCTCCTCTGCAGACACACCCCACAGAAGTTGTGCCATATCAGTGTCACTCAGTAGGCACACCTCTTCGCCTTCAGGCAGAGTAATAGTCGGCACCTCCATGATCGCGATCTGCTGACACTGACGGTCATGAGCACACTGACACGCAAGCTCTAGCGCTTCCATAGCGGAGCCGAGTAAACTGCTGACACGCGCGCGACGTGAGGCACCGCCGCTTTGAACTTTTGCGGTGGAACAGATACTCCAGCCATAATACTAATTAGGTAGCGCTCCTCAAGCGACATAAACGGGTACACAAACTGCATCAGAAACGCTCGCTTCCGCTCGCGATCCATCCCACACTGAGCACTCTGGACACACTGCGCGCCACCAAAAGAACATGTGACAGTCGACAGATGATCCACCCACGCAGTGATTTGAACCACGTACCTTGCCCACCCCACACACCCCCTCCTAACTCCGTCGACTGTCACATGTTCCCACTTTCGCTCCCACTTTGAGTGCGTTAACTCTCCTCTCTCTCTCTCTCTCTCTCTCTCTCTCTCTCTCTCTCTCTCTCTCTCTCTCAACCAGAGCGAGAGAGAGAGCATGTGCGAGAGCGTGCGCCGCGCGCTCCCGCCCCCGTCCCCCGCCCCCGTCCCCCGGCGAGGTAGGCAGCCCGCCACACGACGGCGCCCGCGAGGTAGGCAACACGCCGCACGTCGATTGATAACGCCCGCGAGGTAGGCAATCCCGTCATGCACCTCCCGCCGACGCCCGCAGGGTAGGCCACCCTTCATGCGCCACCCGCCAGCGCCCGCAGGGTAGGCCACCCTTCATGCGCCGCTGCGCTGCGGGCTCCAACCGACCATTGCCATTAGCATTAAGGGCTGGACCGCAACCACTGGCCTCGTGCTCCAACCGCCCGCAACCACTGGCCCCGTGCACGCGTATCTTACTCTCTCCGTTGACTGAATACCGCCAGCATCCACCATGCTGCAATCCGTAGCCTACAGCCATTGCAGGCCGCCTGGCTGTAAAGTCCAGCCGCGGCCCGGCTGGCGCCAGCAGCCAACACGCTGCGACGCGCAGCCTACAGCCGTGGCAGCCTACATGGCTGTAACGTCTAGCCACGGCCCGGCTGGCGCCAGCAGCCAACACGCTGCGACGCGTAGCCTACAGCCATTGCAGCTAAGTTGGCTGTGCGTGCACTGCAAACCTAACTGTCTACTTAGTACACACTTACAAATGCGTGCTTGCAAGTACACACTTACAAATGCATACTTGCAAGTAGACACAAACGCATGCTTGACGCCGTATAACTCCATGCGTCAAGCATGCGTTTGCAAGTGTCTACTTGCAAGCATGCATTTGTAAGTGTGTACTTAGTAGACAGTTAGGTTTGTAGTGTGGCAGCGTTTATAGGCTGCTTAGGGCAGCCAAAAAGCTTCTGTGCGCAGCTTCTGAAGCGTTTCACAGCCAAAGCGCTCCGTGAAACAGCCAGACCAGCCACTGCAGCGTGGATGGCTGCAAGGCCAGGACGTCGCGATGGCTGCGACATGGCTGCAAGGCAGCCACGGCAGCCATGCATACAGCCAAAAAACGGTCCATACAGCCATGCGTCAGCCTTTCTGCAGCCTTCTATTTTTACTCGGGGATCCACACTGATATTTCTATTGTGATGAGTTTCATACAGTTGGCAGGGATGAAAAGGCTAATGCGATTCCTTCAAATTCTTTGCAAACTCAAGTGTGTGCCTGAGGCATTCACCAGGAAGTGTGTGCCTGCCAGGCATGCACCAGGAAGTGTGTGCTTGCAGGCATGCACCAAGAAGTGCATGCCTGGCACACACTTGAGTTTGCAGAGTTCACGGCAGCAATAAAAAAATTATCGCGTTAAAAATGCATTAAGTCTCTAAAGTTCGGGCCGGTCTAGGCCCAGATTATCTCTGTTTTGGTGTGATAAAGTGATAACCACGCTAGAAAAGTGATAAATACGCAAATGCAATGCAATATTTATCGTACTTAAAATGCAATAACGTTTTTATGGCGCTAACAATGCAATACAAATGTTATTGTTTTTGAGTTCATTATTTCACTTGGGAAACAAGTGCAGTGGTTTGTTACGGACTTTTCTGGGATTACTAAAACAAGCCGGTGTTCGCAAAACGGTGTTCGAATAAGAGCATAAAATGTAGTATCCCTTTGACTAGTTACCCCAACCACAACTGTAACTTAAGCCCACAATAAATCGAAGTGAAAACACCCAAATATGCGATAAATCGAACAATTGAAGAAAAACCTCAGATGCACCATCTACGTGGGAACACTTTCTCTCTTGTTTAACATTAAATTACAAGATTCGGGTAGGCCAGTGCACACAAAATGTTTATGAAGAATTTTGTACGTCGTGATGCACGATTTCAAATCTGCGTGACGTGTTGCTAAAAATTGTGCAGAAATTCGCATAAATTTATGCATTTCACGCATTATGCAAATTCCCCGCATGCACGAAATCGCGCAAGTGGCAGGTACAAAATTCTACATAAACATTCACTCTCAGACTCGTAGAGACTTTTTATCTCTTGACGTAAAGGTTTTTGTGCAAACGTAATATGTACTATTTTCTCTTTAGCAATGCACTATTTTGTTCATTGTATAATGTATTTAGTCCATTAAACCGGACTTTTTGTCATTTGCAATGTACTTTTCAATTTCTACATGATCTCTTGACAATCTATCTTTAAGACGAACAAAATTGGGCACAGTTAAGGTAGTAGTAGCGCTCCAACACAAGTCAAGCGAGAGTCAAAAGTTTAAAAACGGTATTTTGAGAGTGAAAAAAATTTCTATGTCTTGAATTAACACTAGAAGCGCCGAACGGGCCAATTTGACCCATTTTGAGTTTCGAACTGTAATTTCGACTTTTCAAAATGAAAGTGGCAGCCCCCTAATTTCTGACTTTTCCTACAATGATGAAATGCGTCTAAATTCGAAATCTGGACGTTCTCGGACCATATTTGACCGAGATAAATTGACTTTTACCATAAAGCGCCAAGCGGGCCAAATTGACCCACACGGCATTTTGACCACATTTTCGCGTTTCTACACAGCGTAACGAGCTATGAACTGACTCTTCACCACTAAAAATAACTTACGTCATATTAGGAATGCGTTACGTCCGCGTTCATAGCGAAGTAGGCAACCCGCAATACATTTTCTGGCTGGAGACATCGTGCAGCTTCTTTTGACGTAAACTGCCAATGTCTTGGCCATTTTGGGTAACCCAATTGACTTCGAAACGCCCTACGGTGTCTCTGGAACACTGAAGCGCTAGTCTACCTTCAGTGGCACTCATAGCACGCTCAGCCCGAATCTTTGGGGGAAAGGACTCGATCTTTTACTCATGCGTAAAGAGATAAATAAAATGCCGAGGTTCACTTTGTTGCTCGCGTGTCTAGTGTTGCAAGGTAATTCACTTGCCTCCATACATTTTAACTAGTTCGGAAACTATTCATTCCCTAGATGTTTGCACAAGTCGGTCAGGACGATGGACGACACGGAAACCCATCTCCCTTCGGGGTGCAGCAGGAGCAAAACTGGTTAGGACAGATCATTGAATGCTAGTTGACGAACGGACGCAAATTAGAACCCACCACGCGCCTTGCTGGCTATGGCGAGTTTATTGAGTACCCGAGGGTCTTAATGGTCTACCGTTCAGTAATTTGATTAAAAATCACTATCTCGATCACAAGGCGATTACAATTATGCCATCTATTATCATCCAAAACGTTTCGGCAACGAGGCACAGTAGAAAACACCAAGAACAGCAAATCATGGTTTGCGGGTTGCCTACCTCGCCCCCTGTGACCCCCGTGCACCAAATTTTATCCTTTGACTTGCTAAGGGTCTTTAAATCCGTTTTAGGTTCCCTTTGAGTCGAAATGACGGTTCAAGAGTTGACATGTACGACGAAAATGCCCTTGGGTCAAATTGGCCCGCTCGGCGCTTTACGGTAATCCGAAAATCCGGCGCTTCTAGTGTTAATGTTTACACTTTGGGAAAAGACATTAAAATGCCTCTACAGTTCACTATTAGGGCGCAATGAATTTAAAAAGTGATGCTAGTTGTGCACTTGACTCTGGTCCTGTCTGCTAAATGACACATTATGTTGATTATTTTCGAAACGATGACGGAAACGACCCGTTTTCTTTGAGTAAGCAGATACAGTGCGTATTAATGCACCTTTGAACAAAAAACTTGAAGATTGAACTTCACTTCAAGTAATAAATAATTCAACATACGGGGCGCACCCACTGCAAACGCAACGGCGATACTACAGTTCATTTTTTGGCGATACAAATGAGTATCGCCAATAAACGGCCTTACGGAAAAGTAATGCCTTCAGAACGGCGATACAAAAAAGTATCGCCAAAATTTGGCAATACTTTTGGATGATGCCAAAACCAAGGCATTAAACTAAGGTCTTGTCCCCTTGATTTGTTCGACGTTTATTGCCAAATCGTGGCAATACTCCCAAGTATCGCCAAATTTTGGCGATACTTTTGTGTATCGCCGTTTTGAAGGCAATACTTTTCCGTAAGGCCGTTTATTGGCGATACTCAATTCGCCAAAAAAGGTACTAAAAGTATTGCCTTTGTATTTACAGTGCCGATGGGCAACATAACCTCAACCTCATAAGGCCAATGCTAATTTCAATTACTTATTGCTTAATATTTTCGACAGTGACTGTCCCTTTTCTTGACGGATCTAGATTCAGAAGGGTTCAATGCATATTCTCTGAAAGTTTCATGAAAAAGTTGGGTAAGGTTACCAAACATGGACCACTTTTTAAATAATCTTCTCTAGATCGAAATTAAGTATGGGTTGACTACTATTTTTGAATCTAATATTGATGTTTACCTCACTGGTCATATGGCTAACAAAAATGGTACCTCTAACTCGACCACTTTGGAAGTTGTGAAGACAAGAAAATATGGCTATTTTTGCTAAGGTTAGGTTAGGGTGGTCCAATCATGGATCACCCCACCAGCGTACGGACACAAAGCAAGGTATGCATTCAGTAGTCCCAAAATAACAAAGTAGTCTGTCCAAAGTGCACGATGAAAAATTTTGAAGTGACTGCGGTGATTGCTTGGCCCAGAATCAGGGGTGCAAAAATCACCTTTTTGAACGTCATTTTTCCATCGATTTTCGGGGGCCTGTTTTAGGTGTCTTTCTAAACGCAACCCTGCAGAGTAGAGAGACGCAGTTACAAACTTGTCAGCTTCACGTCGAACAGTCAAAGGGTCAGTCTAAGCAAGGAAAGACAGGAATTTAGAATCTGGTCACCTGGTCTTTAGTTATAGACCCCCAAACAGAAATGATCCACGTTTGGTACCCCGATCCATGTTCGGCACTTTTCACGTTTATGTTGTGCTACTACTACGTTAGGGAGGAGTACATTTGACGTTTGCTCAAAAAAACGCTATAAGCAAGAGAGAGTAAAGTCCATATGGGTCTGAGAGTGTTTGGTGTGTGCCAATTTTATGCTCTTTCGATCTGTGCAAATCGTTTTAACAAAAACGGATACAAATCCATAGTCTGGTAGAAGTCCGAAACCCTTTGCAGTTGCTGGGAGCATGGTTTCAGGGGTTCCCTCGGCCGTTGCCACCCGACCCTGGTTAACTAAGTGTGTGCACTTCTTGGTCAAGTACACACTTACAAATGCATGCTCGGCAAGTACGCACAATGCCTATGTTTAGCATGAAGTCACTACAAATCCAAAGGTTAAACTTCTCGCCACTCAAGAGGCGAGACGAAGTCTCGCCAAGTTATGGGCAGACCTGAAAGTCCCGCCAAAATTTGGCCCGACAAGAATGTCTCTGTGAGACTTGCAAGCATGCATCTCTAAGTGTGTACTAAGTAGACAGTTAGGTTCGTACACTGAAAATAAAGTCTAGTAACGATAACCAGAATTCTGGTACCAAATACCAGACTGTCTGATAGAATATAACCCAACTAGAATTCTGGTAAAAAATACTAAACCGTCTAGTTGGCCTCACTAAACCGTACCAGATTTATAGTTATCCTTAGAATGCCCTCAGGCCCCCTTCTGGTAGTTTTTACCACACATTCTGGTTAGTTCATATGCTTACAAAACTAAAGCAAAAAGTACAAAATAAAAATAAATAAATATTTTCGTAGCATTGAAACCTGAAGTGACGTCGATTTCCTTGAAGAACAACCTCTGCATTATTTTCCCCCTCCTTCTCTCCGGATTCGAACCGGGATCACACACTTGTGAGACGGGCACGTTACCACTGCGCCACCACGTCGCCTGTGGGTCGAGGGGATCCCCACCGGGTGACTCTCTTCGTGTCTGGCGTCTGCAGTACCACTCCTCCAAGAGCCTGTGCTTTGTAAAGCATGGTACGGAATTTCAACGGAAAATGTAACGCTTATTTTAGATCGGAGGTTGCCGTTTCGGTTTTCCGTTTGTGAAAAAGTCCAAAATGCTCTTCCGACCGTGAGGAACGGACGCTCCGTAACTCAAATTTCAGTCACGGATAACGTGTAACGGCCAGTCCGTATCCCTACGTAGTGACCGTTTCATGCGTTTCGTCAGAGAACTTTGCGTTACGGAGCGTCCGTGTCTCACGGTCCGTACAGCATTTTGTACTATTTCCCAAACGGAAAACCGAAACCGCAACCTCCGGTCTAAAATTAGCGGTGGGTGATTCCGTGCGTAGGGGCCGTTTTAGCCACCTTAGAAAGTCACGTAATCAATCTTGCTTGTTCAGCCGGAATTTTGCCTAGGTGGCATCAATTGAACCCTAGGAAGACACTCTGAGCGTGGGCGAGCTACAAGTTGACTTTCGTTTTCTCCCCCTATAAAATATGACGGAATTTACTGAAAATATGACGGAAATTACGCTTGAAGGAAATTACAAACAGGTGTTTCCGGCTCACTGCAAATGCCTATCGCCACAGAAATAAGCCATAAGTTTGGCACACTAATTCAACGTCAAGACACATCTTTTCACGTGTAGGATGTCTTTCAAAACCTGATAGAAGAGGAGCGAGAGGGGCATACGGAAATTACACCAATTGTTACAACCCACCCATTTCACACGTAACTTCCACTCACACACTCACCCCCCTCGCTTTTTCGCCACCGAAACTCGTTCAGTAGGTAAACAGACCGTGCTGATTATAAATACGGCGGTGGTTTTGAGCAGGGAGCACTCCTAGTAGTTTTTGTGACGCTTACTTTGAAACCGCTAAGGTAAAAGTCGGAGTACGGTGGACATTTAATACGCGTTCTGAAAGTACACTTCCAATAGGGTACTTTCGTAGAATCCTGAACCGGAAGCAAGCAGACCAGCAGACGCCTAATTGGCCGGAAACTAACCTCTCTTCGGATCCAAAACTAAAGCCGAGCTGTACAAATATTGCTCGCGAAACACATATGCACTGCAAACAAGTATCAAACAACTGTTTATGTTCAAGTTTGGCCGATACGTTTGACGAACGTCTCTTTCCCATGTCAAGTTTGGATCTACTTCCGCCAACATGGCGTCTGTGTGCTTCCGGTTCAGGGATCTAGTACTCTATTAATATACGATCTTCAAATTCAAGCAAGATAGTCACTATTAGTTAGAGATTTGATGCGTGTGTGTGGAATTCGAAGATTTGAATGGAACAAAGGGTTATAGAGCCGCAAAGTTGGTGTAAGGTGCGAATGGACATGACGAAACTTACAAAATCGACCCTTTTGGCCCCTCTCCCGCGTCACATGTTAGCTTTGAAAGTCCGTATACAAAGGGAACAAGCTAGTCTAGTGCCAAACAAGATTCTTAAGTGTATAAATGGACTGCACTCGAATAAGTTCGCTCTGGGGAGGGTGTGGACACGAAAACGACCTCTACGCGCGGAATCACCCCGGTACATTTTCCGTTAAATTTCCGTACCACGCTTTACAGAGCACAGGCTCTTATGGGAGGAGTGGTACGGTAGATGTCCGTATCGCCATTTCAGGGGGTATACGGAACGCCGTAGCATTCTCCGTATCAGACACTGATTTTTTGCAGTGAACGATTCAAGAGCCAATGAACACAAAAGATTCACCTAATTTAGCAAGAGCCATAGATTGGTTAGCTTTGCAAGCTTTTACGTAAGTTAAGACGAAAAGAATGATGATACCTTCGCTGGCAGTCCATCTGGGCAGCAGGGAGTCGCGTCTGTCGCCGTGTTGAGGCAGACGACGGCGTTTGGCTGCAACGACGAGAATGGCATATCACGACACTTTTTTTACTTTCTTTGCACTGCCAATCCAAGTGTGAGACAGTCTCACACAACTTAGTGCGAACCACGATGTCTCACGCTGACAAGTGTGAGCCACGTTTGTCCCACGCTTGCAAGTGTGAGACATCATTTGGCTCACACTTACAAGTGTGAGACACGGCTTGTCCTACACTTATTGCCTATGGTTCCCAGTGGTTTAAAGCCACAGGATCCACGCTCGTAAGTGTGGGACGAACTGGGTCTCACGCTTTCAAGTGTGAGACATACTGTGACTCACACTTGCAAGCATGGGACACACGTGGCTCACACTTGTAAGCGTGAGACATCGTGGTTCGCACTAAATAGTGTGAGACTGTCTCACAGTTGGATTGGCAGTGTGGGAATGTCACATCATCATTAAATCAATTTAGCCGAGATTAACACACTGGTCGTCCGCCTCCCGGCCCGAGAGCCCGGCGCAGCCACCGTGTTCAATCAGAGGAAATTCGGCTGATGTCAAAATACAAAGGCCTGTAAAATTGGAAGTTTTCGTGATATCGGTTTCAAAAATTCGGTACGGGACAAGTTCAACCAAATCGACTAGGGCCATCGAATCGAATGTCGAAGACGTCGTGTCATTTTTTCTAGCATATTGAGGCCTGATTACAAACTATCTAAAATCGAACATCAAATTTGGATCGGATTTCTTTTGACCCCCCGGATGTTGTCTTACCAATCAGAACTATCCTCTCAGAAAAGTACCAGTCAATCAGAGGTGCGCGAAAATACATCTGGATTTTCCAATCAGAAAACATCCTGACCGAACGATAAGAAATTTCCTGATAGGCATTCTGATGAAATTAACACGCACACTGTGGCAAAAAGGTACGGAAAATTCTGTTAATTTTTTGCCAGGATTCTCCGTAGTCCTCTTATCAATATTTTCCGTAGGGCCGTACAGTATTCTTTGTAAGTCCGCACAGTCTTCTCCGTAGGACCTGGAAGACTGTATAGTCCTACGGAGATCACTGTAAGGTCGTACGGAGAATACTGTGCGGTCCTACGGAAAATACTGTAAGAGCCCACGGAGAATATTGATAAGGGGGCTACGGAGAATTGATCCAGGAAGCGGAAGAAGGGGATAACTCAATTTTGGCCATTTTTCAGGAGAAACAAAAAACTGTTAGCAGGGAAAACTAAAACAAAACAAATGAATGTTGCAGATGTTAATAATTTCAAAAAGCATTAGTAAAATTTTGGAAAACAAATCAAAAGTGTAAGGTCACTCCGTAGAGGATTTCTGCGACTTATCACTTTCCGTTGAAATGGAAAACAGAGTCAGCTCACCTTATATTTCCTAAACAAAGTGGAATTTGGAGACAAGTCAAGTGGAACAATAGTCTGCATAAAGTGTATGTTACTCTGGTGTATTTTTTGGACTTAGCTCTTTTTTCCAACTTGAAATTTAAAATTAAGGGGGGTTAAGTTGAGTTGATTCTTTTTACACTGGATCCATAAAAACACAAGTTGAGTAATATCCTTTTGCCAATTTGTCAAACGGACTCATGTAGACTAAGGTTGAGTTATCTCCATTTTCCAATGAAATTTAGACCGTAAAAGGGGTTAAGTTGAGTTGTACCCTTTTTCCATGTGGATTTTCTCCTAAACTGCTTGGAATTCAGTCAAATAATTTGGTGTAATGATGTAAACCATTCTAAGGCACAATAATAAAATAAAAACTCAATTTGGGGATAAGTCAAGTTATTCCCTTCTTCCGCTTCCTGGATCAATTACCACAAGCTGTTCACAGAATTTTCTGTAGCTTTTTGCCACAGTGCAGTGACTCAGATCCGTTATTTCGATGGAATCAAGATATTTTGTGCACCCTCAAAACGTCGCAAACTATTTTTGGCCTTGCAAAGAATAGTAGCTTGTCATCACAAAGTATTTTGAGCATGCTAAGATTACCTAAAAAATACTTAGTAATTTACGAACTCTTTCTTTGTACAACAAATTAAATAGCTTGTAGCTTGCTCACATGTGCTCGAAATACTTCGTAAAGCTTTATCACTCTCATTCCAGGAACGTGACATCACGTTGAAACGAACGTGACAAAGTGTCACGTTCGTTTGAGCATTGTGTCACGTTCGTTTCAATGTGAACGAGCTGGTTTTCGGCCAATTCACACCCAAACGAATGTGACACAATGCTCGAACGAACGTGACATTTTGTCACGTTCGTTTCAACGTGATGTCACGTTCCTAGAATGAGAGTGATCCGTTGCACATCCTCGTGGCATATGACGCGCTTGCGAGGCTCACCACAGCCCCCCCCCCCCCCCGGGCCAATCTGCGCGGACTTATCTCCAGGGAGAGAGTACTGTATCGGGTGTACAGTAGCGCTGGAGTTGGCATTCCTGCCGGGCTGGAGGCGATAACGGGCGACTTCGACCCGCCGGCGCTGCACGGCCGCCTGCCCTCACGCAGTGTACGTAGCAGGCTGCGAGATACCAAGGGCGGATCCAGAATCTGCACACTAAATGTACAATTTTGTACGTGGTGATGCACGATTTCAAATCTGCATGACGTGTTGCTAAAAATTGTGCAGAAATTCGCATAAATTTATGCATTTTCACGCATAATATTATGCAAATTCCCCGCATGCACAAAATCGTGCAAGTGGCACGTACAAAATTCTACACAAACAATTAGTGTGTACATCGTGGGACCAAAAAAGGCCCACGACATTTATTGTGCGGCTTATTTATTTTTTGCAATTAAATTGGCCAGCCGTTTCGAGTAGCCTACCCGAAATTGTCAATGCTGGGCCCTTACACTGTCAGAAAAAAAGTCCGTAAATTTACGGAGAAAGTTACTCTAACTGATACTTCCCACCTCGTCAGAATTTGGCATTGCAGGCGTACAGGCAAGCAGATAAAGATTTCAAGGCAGGACTTGATAAGTTTTTGGCGTTGGTTTGGGTCATCGGAAGGTATGTCCAATCTTGTTTCATTTCAAGAATGGGTTACATTTACTCACTCGGTTCTGGGCTGCGGGCAGCACTCCTTTTGCCCAGGCGGTCATGTGGACGGAACATTGCTGAGTATGGTGTCCAATGGCAAGTGTAACCTACAGAGTCAAAAAACACAACAAGGCTATTAACATTACTGTACAAAAAAGTACGGTAACGATTCCGCAGAGATCTCTGCAAAGCCGGTGGTAAGCTTGCTTGCCACAAATTTGGCAAGCCGATTTGAATGCCAAAATTATCCCAGCTTTGGTCGAAAATCTTCGTCAGCTTGCCAAAATTTTGGCCAAATTTTGGCATGCTGAGTGGTATTTCCGGGCCAAGCTGGCCAATTTTTGGCATTCGAAACGGCTTGCTAAATATGTGGCAAGCAAGCTTACCACCTGCTTTGCAGAGGCGAGCAGCTTGTTAAAAATAAGCAAAATTGAGGTTAATCTTAATCGTAAAGGGTGACGTTTTGATATCAGACTGACACCGTTAGACCTTGTTTTAACTTCATTTCAACTTGAATGTACCCACTGAGTTCGAATTTGACAGGGCAACGCCCTACACACTAACCGTTCAGGACGGCGACCCGGCGCGCAGCGCAGACAGCCGTGTGCAGCGCAGCGATGCAGCACGCAGCGGTCACGACGACGACGCACTGAACACTCACTCTCTGCTCCCAGGCGCGGTATTCCCCTGGCCTGGCCACGGCCTGCTAGACTGCCGGCCGGCGACTGCACTTTGGCTAAACAACGGACGGGGGGAGGGTGGGGGGAAGCGGGGCGGTGTGGCGTAGAGCAGTTGTGCGAAGCTGGCTGTCCACTACCTCCTCCCTCCTCCCCGCCCAGAGGTCGGCGTCATGACGCGCTTCTGGATGGCGACGCGGGCAGCGGTGAGCGGACGCGGGTCTGGCTGTCGTCTGCTGCGCCTATCCGGGGATGAGTCAGTGAGTCGGGTAAAGGAGCTCTGGCCCGGAAGAAGAAATACAGAAGTCAGTAATGACAGCTTCTATGAGAAATGTCCACACCCTCAGATTCTTATGATGAAAGGGCCATCGTAACTTACGTTGAAATAAGAACATACGTATTTCAATAAAATTCATGCGTAATACGATGATATACATGCGTAATGGGTAAAGTGCCGAACATGGATCGGGGTACCAAACATGGATCATTTCTGTTTGAGGGTCTATATCTGAAGACCGGGTGGCCAGATTCTAAATTTCTGTCTTTCCTTGCTTAGACTGACCTTGACCCTTTGACTGTTCGAAGTGAATCTGACAAGTTTGCAACTGCGTCTCTGTACTCTGTAGGGTTGCGTTTAGAAAGATACCTAAAACAGGCCCCCGAAAATCGATGGAAAAATGACGTTCAAAAAGGTGATTTTTGCACCCCTGATTCTGGGCCAAGCAATCACCGCAGTCACTTCAAAATTTTTCATCGTGCACTTTGGACAGACTACTTTGTTATTTTGGGACTACTGAATGCATACCTTGCTTTACGCTGGTGGGGTGATCCATGATTGGACCACCCTAACCTAACCTTAGCAAAAATAGCCATATTTTCTTGTCCTCACAACTTCCAAAGTATACAAAGTAGGTTTACGCCAGACCGCGTCTTGTCGTAACAGGCTTCGCGATGTCTCGCTGCCTGTTCCTCCAATCCGCGCCTGGCAGTAGTATGGGAGGGACTATTGGACGCTTTTCCCACGGGATGGACTTTCAGACACCTTGAGCGGGTGTAACCTAAGTGAACCTAAGCAGGTCATGATCTTGAGCGGGTGTAACCTAAGTGAACCTAAGCAGGTCGTGATCTTGAGAGGGGCTAACCTAACCGAACCTAGGCAGGTCAGGACCCGTCCCTGTGGTCGGACTTTCAGACACCTTGAGCAGGGCAGAGCTAAGGTGGACCAGCCTCGGCGCGCTCCCCCTTCTGGTCCCGCCGCGAGGCGAAGCCGCGGCGCGCTCCCCTCCCTCGGCCCGCCCCTGCCACCGCGCCGCGGCCGTGTGTGGAGCGGTGCCGCCAGCTCGCCGTGAAGCCGCGACGAGGACAAGGTGCGCACCACACCTGTGCCACCGGTCCTCCGGTGGGTCTTGGAGTGGTCCGCGCTGCGCCGCGCGCACCACGGGGCCCCTGCAGCAGCTTGCAGCACAGCGCCGTGAAGCAGCGCCGCGTAGCGGCCGCCGCGCTAACTACTGGCCTCAACAATGCTCACCGCGTGCCACTGCGCATCGCTTCTGCGCAGCGCGCCGCAGCGCGCCGAAGCAGACGCCGCTCGACTAAGCTTCATTTCTCTTTTACCGACTCTTATTTCTCTCATCATTATGATCGGAACAGTATTTCCTATCGCCTCGTGCACTCTGATTTCTTTAATGTGGTCCTCGCTGTCGATAAACACAAGTTCCGTGCCGGCTGTCTGCAAGCTTTAGCCTCCAACCCAAAGCCGACGGAGCGCAACAGGTTTTTAGTGTTTTTAACCGTGTATCAACGTTTCCGAAGAGAAAAAATACTGCGAGACGATTTTAAATGATGAATGCAACCAACTTTTCTTTTCGGCGCGTTCAAAATCACTCGCAATCTCGCTATGAGAGTAACGCGTCCGGGAGGTTCGCTGTGATTCGTCTAAAATACCGATTTTTGTCCAATGAGCGAAAAGCGCGCGAAACCCCCTCCCCGCCGGCGGGAGGAAAAGGGGAGGGGGTGGTGGATAAATTGAGGCGCGCCGGCCGGCCGGCCACTTGTTGTTCCGCTGCTGTTGTGAGAAGATGAGCCGTTGCGAAATCTGGAAGGGCCGTGCCCTGGAGTCGGAGTCGGAGTCCTCCTCGTCGGAGTCATCGACGGGGACAGTGTCGTCGTCGGAGGAGGACGAGTCCATGGTCGTCGACGTCGAGGCCATCGAGCTTCACGCGGAGAAAGACCTCGAGTTGGTGAGTAGAGTGCGTGATTCTCGTAGGGCGAAGCTCTGCCTGTTTGTCCTCCCGGTGCGATTACATCGCTCGGTAGAATTTTTCTAAGGCGGAAGCTATGCCCGATTTCGTATCGGTGCGTGGCCGCTCGACTCTATGTAGAGCCGTAGCGTTTCCTCGCACCGTATTTTCTAATTCAAATCGGTAACCTCCAAAATTTATTTTCCCTTCCAGCTCTGTTGAGTCAGTTCCGTTTTCTTGTCGCGAGTGCAGTGTTCGTTCAAACCGCGTCATGTTTTAACTTGTCTGCCTTGCCCGTGTCACGCCTCACCGTGCCGGGCAGGCTGTGTTACGTTCAAACCGCGTCATGTTTTAACTTGTCACCGGCCGGCCGGCGTGTCCGTTTGTCCGGCGCGCGCTTCTCGGAATCGCGCCACGCCACGCCGTGTCATGGCTGGCTGTGCTGCGCCGCGCAGTAGATTGAGTCCTAACGTCGCGTTCATGTTCGTCGTCATGCACCCCGTGTCCCCGCCTCGTTTGAGGCGTTTCCGCGAGCGTGGGAAACCTTTCCCGCCGGCGACCGGCCGCAGTCAGCTGACTGCCGCGCCGACTCGCTCTCTCTCGCACCTCAGACTGGCTCACGGCTAGTCGCACCCCCTCCCTTACAGTGTACCGGCGCTGCGCGGTGCAGCGCTGGGCCGGGGTTCGAATCCCAGCCGTGTCGCGCTCGGTATAGTTAGTCTTCCTGGTGTGGTATAGTTCGTCCGAGTGGGTGGGTGGGAGTGACGCTGCCATGGGTCCCTGTCTACGTCTGTGTAAGTCGCCTGCCTTGCGCAGCCCATCAGTGCTTGCTTGCTTGCTTCTGAAATTCTCGCCAAAGCATGTGTTTTGCTTTCTTGAAGTTTTTGAAGCTTTCCGTCTCAGTGTACGTCTCCACGTGTATTCAGTGCTAAAGAAATGTGAATACAGTTTGAATCGTACACCGTGATTTCGCACGCCAATATCTGCGGTTCCACTGAGAACGGCCGGTAATGGCATGTGATTTTCTTTTTGTTTTGTCGTGGAACTAATCGTTTCTTTACCCTTAATGGTTTCAGTCGAGCGAAGATGATGATGACACCCCCGGCACCGTCGTCGACGTCGCCACCGGCCCCTCAGCAGGGGATGATGAGGCGGCCAGGCACGCCTGGGAACCAACACCACTTGCTGAGAAGGTGCCGGCACCACCGGCCGAGTGGCTGCCACCTTTACCGCCGGCCCTAATAGAAAAACGAAGTCCCACAGAAGTCCACAATCCGTAATCCCTCCGAAGTCCGTACTCGAAATCCCCCTGAAGTATCTAGATGGTGCAAACCAGGGATTAGGGATTTCGAAAGGTCGGGGAGGCAGAATCCCTCCCTAGTCCTTCTCAAATCCCTTTTCAGTCCCTTTTCAGGGGGTGGGGGAGGGCTGCGGCGCGCCTGCAGGGTAGGCCACCCGTTCGCTCAGGCGTGTGCCGGGCGTGCCTACCTCAACCTCGACAGGCGCCTTCGTGGAGCGCCTGCAGGGTAGGCCACCCGTTCGCTCTGGTGTGTGCCGGGCTTGCCTACCTCAACAGGCGCCCTGGTGACACAAGGAGGAAAAAACGAATCTCACAAACTGGATTATTCTGCTTTTTGTTTTATTAACAAAACATTCTTTCTTTGTCTAGAACACAATGGCTTAAATAAAAACTATTTTGAAATAAACAAGAGTAAACTTTGAAAGTAGTAAGCACAAAGGTAACTCAAAGACTACAAGTACTCAAGATGTATTAAGGAACAAAAAATTAAAAAATAGAAGTACACATGTCAATGAACTATCAAGAAACATTATCGTCTAGTCAACTCAGTGCGCACATGAGAAAGCAAACAAATAAAATAAAACAAAATGATATAAAATTACAGCTTGGTCAGAACAGTACCAGGAACCATATTCTTGAAAGTCAACTCAGTGCACATGAGAAAGCGAACAAATAAAATAAAAGAAATGATATAAAATTACAGCTCGGTCAGAACAGTACCAGGAACCATATTCTTGAAAGTCAACTCAGTGCACATGAGAAAGCGAACAAATAAAATAAAACAAATGATATAAAATTACAGCTCGGTCAGAACAGTACCAGGAACCATATTCTTGAAAGTCAACTCAGTGCACATGAGAAAGCGAACAAATAAAATAAATGATATGAAATTACAGCTCGGTCAGAACAGTACCAGGAACCATATTCTGGAAAGAAAAGATACATTTGTAGAAACGTGGTTGTGAACAGAAGCCCAAATTTACGAGAAAAGTGTTCTTACCTGCTGATGAATAGGGGGGGGGGCTCTGCCAGGTAGACCAGTCATGCTGCAATTAACAGTTACTTTTAGTATGTGAAGCTGTTTGCACTCTTTGATACTTGAACTTTCCTTCCCCTCTATTCTATTTAAGCACGAGCAAGTGATAATGAGAGCTGTGTTGAGTGCTTACCTGCTGAGGTGGTTGTTGAACGTTGGAATACTGTGGGTACAGCGGGAATGATGGCCCCTGTGCATATGCAGATGCAGACTGTGGGTATTGCGGTGGTAGCTGCTGGGGGAACTGGTACTGAGGCTGAGGCTGTGGATATTGCGGAGGTGGCTGATGAGGTTGAGAAGGTACTGGTGGGCACCACTGTACATCCCATGCAGACTGAGACTAGGAAACAAAAAGTAAAAAGGGGTAATCTATTTTATCAATTGAACCTAATTTAATCTTGAGTGATTTCAACTTGCTGTGTTAGACACTGTCAAGACACATTAAACTGGCTTTAAACTGGTGTAAAATAAACCATAACTAGTCCAAAATCCCTCTGTCAGATGTGAAGCAGTAAATTAGAATTTGGTAAAAATTCTTAAGACTGTCACTGGTTTATACTAGCCTAAAAATAATTCTATCAAAACTTTTGTTCATATGGTTGTTGAAGGCTTAATTACTTAAACAAATGCAATTTGAGGAAGAAAATATTGATAATTACCTGGAAGGTGATGTCTCCAGCTGGCTGAACAGGCTTGAGAGGCTGGAGAGGCTGAACCACAGTACTCTGCTGAAACTTTGCTGGAGAGGCAACAACCAATGAAGTCTTCTCCTTCATTGGAGTCTTCTCCTTCGTTGGAGTCTTCTCCTTCGTTGGAGTCTTCTCCTTTGTAGGAGAGTTCACCTTAGTAGGGGAATTCTCCTTGGTTGGCGTCTGATCAAGCCCGACTGCTTTCTTCTTTTGTTTGCTCTTACGTGTAATTTTTACCTGGAGAAAAAAAGAGCCATTGGAATATCTAATTCTCCTCCCAAAAAATTTAACAACAAAACAATTTGAAAATGTAATTCCAACCTTGGGCGAAGATTCCTCCTTTGGCGAGGCCTTTACTGCTGATATTTTTTTGGTTACCTCCCTAACAAACTCATTCCAAGTAAGGGGTGGAGTGTACTCGGTTACAAAATCTAAAAATAGTGTGACATTTAATTTAAAAAAAAAATACATTAACAATATGTTATTGAAAAGAAATAGTGGTATCTTACCATAAATTGCAGACATATCAGCTGCAGGTATAGATATACTGCCCTTCTTTCTACCCATTGCAGTCATTTGCATTAGTTGATCATTCCCGTAAATATGAACCAATGTCTTTCGAACAAAATTAGTGGCAGACTTCTGCAGCTTATGGTCCAGGACCAAAACATTCCGTCCACCTTTATTAATGCGAAGGCAGTGGCCCTTCTTGAGACGAACCTGAAAAGAAAAAGGAAAGAATTTAATAAGCAATAGATAAAGCCAAAATTTCTCATCTTGTTCTCTTGTTGACATACCATCTTTTGACCTGGAACTTCAATTGGCTTGGCATAAACCTAAAATAAAATACAGAGAGATTAATTGCTGTCCTATGAAAGAAACTTCCTGATAAGTGCTGTAATCTAAATAAACACTTGCCTTGCTGGAGGGACTGCTTTCAGTTTCAGAAGTGAGAGACGTAGAACCAAAGCACTTGAGCAAATACTTCAGAAATGATTCAGTGTTAGGATTCTCTGTTGGGCAGAAATTTAAAATTAGAGCAGTTGAAGTACTCAAAAGATGAAAAGTAAAAGCAATGGAGTGATACTCACTGAAATCTTTAATTTCCCTATCACCTTCACCATCACCTTCATCTTCACTACTTTGATCACTCTCACCGATTACATTGTTGTCAGTTGGCCGCAGGCGAATACCAGTACCAAGAGGAATTTCACCATTAAGAGTTGCCATGCCGTTGACATCATTAATGTTTTCATTCACATCACCCATTTCGTTATTATCATGGGGTTCATCCTCTGAATCAGCCGCATCATCATCGGAGAGAACTTCAGGAAACATAGACCTGGAGGTGGAAGGATTGTCAGAGCTTTTGGACGAGTTCCCCAATGAGAAAAGATTTCGGGTAACAGAACGCCGCTGAAGATCTTCCTGCTCTTTTTCATCCGCTTTCTTCTGAGCAAGGGTCTTCGACTTTTGTTCTTCTGAAACCTTTCGTTTTGTTGCACGTTGGGGAGAGCTGAGCTGAACACGCTCCCCCAACGCCCGGCTAACTTCCTTGCTTGTAGCCACTTTCCCAACCCTTTGGACTCTCTTCGTTGATCTCTTTGAGGGAACTTCCTCATTCTTCTTCTTGATCTCTGCATGCAGCTTCAACTCTGCCTCTTCAATTACCTTCGAGTTACCTGGAAGTCAAATAAATTCAGTTATAAATCAAGTGCATGCAAATAGCATACCATTCTAAGCGACAAACAGGTTATGCTTCATTACAGCCCAGTAATGGTAGATTTTAAGATAGATAAGTATTAGCATCAAAATATTCTAGACAATGAGACACAAAGCCTATGACCGATGCGCGCACAGAAACATTGCAGAGGTTATGGCAGTTGAACACCAGTAAAACAAGATAAGAACAGAAAGGCGAACACAGGTTTTGATCCAAAGATTCAAACTTACCACTGATTTTAACTATTCGGCCTAAGTATTCCTTGCCATTTGTGTATCTAATCATACCCAAGGCCCCTTCACACCTCAACTCGCTAGGAATTTCTGGCAGCGGCCACACATCCCATCGACCCTCATGCACCCAGTGCACGAGACACGTAGGAGCCATTGCACCTGCACCGAATTTGAACAGGGACCAGAGGAAAATTGATCCACAAAAGGTCCAGAAGCAACACGCAACAACAGGTCGTACACTAAAAACCGCGCCAATTCCGACGATGACCGAACCGGCTGGCCGTTAGGCTGAGCACGGCTTGCTAGATACTTCTTGACCACTGCAGTCAAAAGCAGTTATGTGGTGGTGATATTTTATTCCTTTTCGCATAGAAAAATTGAAACTTCACCAGCAGATCACTCTAAAAAAAAATTAAATCAAATATAACAAGACCGAACCAAAATAAGTCCCAACAGGAAATTTCCGAAAGACATTGTCAGGCGTTTAGTATCTTACTTGACTCTGCTTGTAGAACCCAGGGGAGAGGGGAGAAATAGTCGCAAAAGGCGGAAGATCAGGTATTTACATCAGATCACTATTTCATTCAGTAATTCAGGTGTGATGGTCATGAGTACGTGTCAACGAAATGTCTGATGAAGAGTCTAGGTGGTCTCGACGTCGTCGGTTGAACCAGGCATACGCTGCTGGGCGCGAAGATGGTGGTAGCGACTTGTCGTCATCCTCTGCATCGTCTGCTTCGAATGAGGGACCGGAGCCAAGGCGACGACGAATCGCAGGTAAATTACGATACAAAACTTGTGTTTTTTAAAACACACCTTCAGAACGCAGATGTCGTGATAAATTTGACTCCTCAGTGGCCTCATTGGGTTCCTTACTTCTTTACTGGCTTAAGTATGGTAATGTTTCTGATCCCGGCAACTAACCTAACCAGTACACTTAACTTTTCAAAACAAATGTCCTAAAACTTATGTTTCAACCAAGATGAAGTGTAGCATCCTTATTAGTTGTCATTTTAATGCTCTTTACTCTTGTTTTTCTTTCTCTGACAGGATTAGTTTTATAGATTTTGTACATGGAACATCATATGCAAGTATATTTACATTTGTTGTTATTTGTTTTCAGAGTCCAGCTCTGATGAGACTGACAGTGACAATGATGGAGATGAAATTATCGAGTCAGGAGACAATGAGGAAGAAGAGGAGCAAGATGAGGAGGAAGCCGAGAATGAAAGCGTTGCTGAAGAAGATAATGTGAACATGACCGAGGAGGAGGATGAGGGCCAAATGCATGGAGGAGAGGATGCGGACCACAATGAAGATGACGTGGACAACAACGGAGAAGCAGGACCTAATGAAGAACAAGGTAATTAAATGGAACCTTATTTCATTTACTTTGGTTGGTTTGTTGGTCTCTTTGTTATTACCTTGTTTTATTTAAGGTGGTGATCCAAACCTTGAAGATCTCTATGAAAATAACAATGACAATGCCAGCGGCAGCGATGCAGCCTCAAGCAGCAGTGATAGTGAAAGTGAAGGATCAGAAAGTTCCGAAGAAGAAGATGATGATGATGATGATGATGATGGAGATGATGATGGAGATGATGAAGATGGAGGAGCGCCACTCTATGAAAATGCAAGAATATCTCAAATGGAGTCAATCATCATGATTTTAACATTTGCTCTAACATTTAGCTTAAGTGGGCAATGTTTGGTTCGTTTACTAGAAATTATTGAACGCCACTGTCCGCCTGTGAACAGATGTATCACTACTCTTTATAAGTTCAAGAAAATATTCAGTGATATAGGAAGGAATATTCTTGTCTCACACTACTTTTGTCAGAGGTGTTACTCTCCACTGGAGCAGAAAGATTCAGTTTGCAATTTATGTGGTAATCTTACAGATGTGGCCTTTTTTATTGAAATTCCATTTGTGAATCAATTACAAAGAATGTTCCTGAGGCCAGGATTTGTGCAAAACTTGTCCTATAGATTCAATAGACAAAAAAAGCACAATGGTAATTACGAGGATATTTATGATGGAAGATTGTACAAGCAGCTTATGGGTGAGAATGGCTTTCTGAACAATATATTTAATCTTTCATTTATGTGGTACACAGATGGCATTAGTATTTTTAAATCATCAAAGTTTTCTGTGTGGCCATTATTCTTTGTCATCAATGAGTTAAATTATAAAATGCGCACTCGAAAGGAAAATATTGTTTTAGCAGGTCTGTGGTTTGGCAAATGTAAACCTCAACCCAATCTATTCTTAAGGCCTTTTAGGAACACGTTTGACACATTCTACAATCAGGGATTTCAGTTTCAAGTTCCAGAAGGCGATCCAATCACTGTGAAGGGTTTGTTACTTTGTGGCACTTGTGATTTGCAGGCTAAGGGTCTATTCTTAAAAATGAAACTCTCTAATGGTTACTTTGGCTGCTCCAAATGTCGCTCTTCTGGTCAACGAGTAGCTGCAGGAAGGACAACAGTGCATGTACATGACTATGTTAGCCCTCAACAGATGCGCTTGAGGAATAATGATAATATTCCAGCACTTGCAAGAGAAAGGCGGCTTGGATACAAAGGGTTGTCTCTGTTGCATTTTCTAATGCCATCCATGATACGGGGAACTGCTATTGATGGAATGCACATGATATTTTTAGGCATATCAAAGCTCTTAACTAAGTTGTGGTTTGATCCTAGATTCCATGGGGAGCCATTTTCTTGCAGTAGAATGATTGATGTTGTTAATCAAAGGCTCGTTAATATCAAGCCACCAAGTTTTGTCCAGCGCCTTACCAGAACATTGTCAGATTTGAAATTATGGAAAGCAAGAGAGTACAAGCTTTGGTTTTTTTATTATTCTGTAGTTGTGATGCATGGTGTGCTTGAAAATGTGTATCTGCAACATCATCTTAAACTTGTATCCGCTGTGTCACTTTTGTTCCAAGGAAGCATTTTTCCGGAACAGGTTGATGCAGCAGAAGCTCTTTTGCATGAATATGTTCGAGAGTTTGTAGCTCTTTATACTCTCCGATTCATGGGAATGAACATCCACCTGTTGTTGCATTTGGCAGAAATGGTGCGAGATCTGGGACCCTTGTGGGTTTACTGCTGTTTTTTTTTTGAGGACTTAAATGGCCAACTGGCTAAGTTGATTCATGGACCCCATCAAGTTGGCCTACAAATATGTTCATCCGCTTCCCTATTTTTAAGTTTGAAGACTCTTATTGATGGTCTTAATCCTGGGTCATTGGCTAAAAGTTTTTGTCAACAGCTGAACAGTGTTGGATCAAATTATACAATAGCAGAACATGTCTCTGAAAAGGTGAAGATACTTGGGCGTTCAGCCTTTGACATGAATGTTAGTGCTGCTGCAGTTCAAGCTATTCGTGAGAAATTCAATGTTGTCAATGGTCATTTTCAATCATTCTTCTTGATGAGAAGAAGTGGTGTCATTTTTAATTGTGAATCTAAAATTAACAGCACTAAAAGGTGTTCAATCTTTGCAGAATTTATTCAAGATGGCACTCCCTTCTTTGGTAAGATAACAGAGTTTGTAAGAGTTTCAGACTGTAATTGTGGCAGAGTGTGCCTTTGCAACCCAGCTGAACATTATTGTATTGTGCAGAAATATGAAAGAATTGAGTGGTTTGCACATCAAGTACGGAATGTTCGCATTGCATACTTGTCAGCAGTTCAGCCTACAGGTGGTCTTATTGCCACTCTTTCCAGCAGCATACAGTCAATATGCTTTTATATGAATGTTGAGGGTGCTGAGTATGTTGCAATCCCTGTTAATGATTTGGAGTATGAATAAGATGTAATGTCATATGATTAACACAACTGCTTTTATTTATTTTTCCTTGAATGAATGTTGAGGGTGCTGAGCACGTTGCAATCCCTCTTAGTAATATGAATAGGATGTAATGTCACTCAATAAATAATATGAACACAACTGCTTTTATTTATTTTTCCTTCGCTTATGGCCTGCAGCGGCTCGCTTGCCGATCACGACGGCTGGGTGCCTGGGCCGGCCGGGCACCTTCGGGGCTGCGTCGGTTCGGCCACGGCCTCCACTGCAGCGGCTTGCGCGCCGCCAGGATCAGCCTTTGGGGCTGCACTGCCAGGTGGGTCGGCGCGGACACGGCCTGCATTGCCTCGCTCAGCGCCAGGGTCGCGACGGCTGCCTGCGGCAGGCACCTTGGGGCCGCGGCCGCCAGGTGGGTCGGCGCGGACACGGCCTGCAGCGGCTCGCGGCGGGCGGCTTGGCCGCAGTCTGCCGCCCTTTTTCCGCGAGTCCTTCCCTTTTTCCCTCCTGGAGCGCCCCTGCGGAGGACCCGGTAGGTGGCGAAGGGACCCCGAAGGGTACTGCGGACCTTCCTCAGCCACAGGCGCCAGCCGGGTCACCTCCGCGGAGCGCCTTCCAGCAAGTCCTGCATGCATCCGAGCGATTCAGAAGATCGGTGTGTCGCTCTGTCTCTCTCGCGCCCTAGCCCAATGAGTGCGACAGAGACAGAGAAACGAAATGACTCTTCTGAATCGCTCGCTCGCAGGTGTCGCGTGAGGCCTGTGCAGCGTGCCGCGTGGCAGTCGTACAGGGTTCAATTGAGTACTCACGCTGCACGTCTCGGACTACCTGTAGACAGGTCTCCAAACACGCCAGTTCCTCAGTCACGTCGTTTATTCGTCTCTGGACACAAAGGCACCGGCACAGAGAATGGTAAGATAGGCAGGGTACAGGGTACTTCCCCCGTGTACACATAGAAGTGCGTCGGGCGCTCTAAGCGAGCACCACCACTAATCAAAAGAAGAAAAATAAGTTTACCACCATAGTCTCGTGGACGTACCAGTAAATAAACCTCCGCGGCAGCCTCTGCTACAGGCATGGACAGAGGCTGCCGGACGGGGTAAGGGTTGGCCATTTCGGAGACGGCCCTTCCGCTCCTTCCGCTTCCAGAGCCGTGACCATGGCAACCAGAAACAACGCGATGGGTCCTACCGAAAACGAACGATCTCTAAAGTACGAATAAAGAACGAACGATCTCCAAAGTACGAATAAAGAACGAACGATCTCCACGGGACTGCCCAGATTTGAGGTTATGTTGCTCTGATGAAACAACTTTTTAAGCATGAAGTCAAGACATGGGTGTG